AGCAAGATGCGATTTCCGCTTCACCAAAACCCTAGCAACCCGAGCCAGGAACCAAGGCCGGGTAGATAGCGAGGCTATCCCCTTAATCAGCCTGAGTACCAAGCCGGGAAGGATCGGGATTGATGGTAGAGTCCAGACCAGCCTCACGGTGTCACCACCGGAGGTATCTCAAACCCTAGACGGGAGCCGTCAGGGGATGTTCACTTCCGAGACCATATAAGTTTAGGGAACACGGGAGGTATGTACGCATGTATTTTGCTGTTATTTTTAGTAAATATCATGGGACGGAGTTTTCTTCTCATTTTTATAAGCATTTTCTTGTAGCTGCACTTAGTAGAATTTAGGATACTTCTGTATAGCAGCGTACATAGCAGGTGTGCCAGATGTGCCATGACACACCTAGAATTTTGAAAAAATAAATATTTTTTCTACCATTTTTAAGGTCCATCTAAGCCAATGAAAATAGACCTCATTTTTCTAAAAGTGTGCACACCCTCCATTGTAGTTTTGGTGTAGATGGACCGGGAACTTGTACTAGTGCGCGTGACGTGACACATGAGAGGTCTTATAGAGGATGCTATTCAAACCATGGCATCCCCAGGCTTATAAAAGTCTTCTCATTCTTGCAGTTCTTTTACCAAGCAAAACTGCAACCATCCTCATGGAGCTAACCGGAGCCACCGTATTCTTGATTTCTCTCGCCTCAGTGGTGATTCTAGCTTCCTTGCTGAGCCGCAAACTAGCACCAAGTTCCAAGAACAGGCGGCCTCCTGGCCCATGGCGTCTGCCCTTGATCGGAAACCTCCACCAGATCGTCGGCTCCCAGCCGCCGATCGTCCTCCGGGACATGGCCAAGAAGCACGGGCCGGTGATGTACCTTCGCCTGGGCCAGGTCGACACGGTCGTGGTCTCCTCGCCGTTGGCGGCAGAGGAGGTGCTGCGGGAAAAGGACCTCTCCTTCGCGTCACGGCCCAACCTTCTGGTCGCCGAGATCAGCTTCTACGGGAACACCGACATCGCCATGACCCCATACGGCGCGTACTGGCGGACCTTGCGCAAGATCTGCACCGTGGAGCTCCTCAGCGAGCGGAAGGTGAGGCAATTTTCACCGGTGAGGGACAACGAGACCATGTCCCTTGTTAGCAACGTCGGCGAAGCTTGCTCGGGTGGCAAGCCATTCAACCTCGGCAGGCTGATCATATCGTGCTCGAATTGCATAATCGCGAAGGCGGCGTTCGGAGACAAGTGCAGCTCCGAGCTCCAGGAGCAATTTCTGTCGGCCATGGAAGTGGTGCTCAAGCTCAGCGGGGCGCTCTGCATCGGGGACCTCTTCCCTTCACTGCGGTTCGTCGACGTGCTCACCGGGCTCACTGGCAGGATATGGCGAGCCCGCCGGCAGCAGGACGAGGCCCTGGACAAGATGATCTCTCAGTCCAAGATGCGGCCAGGTGATCACCTTCTCGGTATTTTGCTTAGGATCAGGGACGAGGGGGATCTTGACTTCCCCATGGAAATGGATAACGTCAAGGCAATCATAATGGTAATTATTAAGTGATGCTCTGAATTTTCATACTACTACTAGTTTACTAGTATTGCATTATTGCCTTTGCTCATCTTGTCTACATTGATTGTTTAGGATATGTTCACGGCCGGGACCGAGACAACATCATCAGCAGCCGAGTGGGCCATGTCGGAGCTCATGAGGAACCCTGAGGTGATGGCCAAGGCACAGGCTGAGGTGCGACGAACATTCCACGATAAGAACACAGAAGATCATGAGGAACACGTGGCGGAGCTACACTACACAAAGATGGTAATCAAAGAGGCCCTGAGGCTATATCCAGTGGTGCCTATGTTAATTCCCCATGTCTGCCGAGAGACCTGTGAACTTGGCGGGTTTCAGGTCACCAAGGGTACGAGGGTCATGGTAAATACGTGGGCGTTGGGTAGGAACCCCGAGTACTGGCATGAGCCGGAGGAGTTCCGACCGGAGAGGTTCAAGGACGACACGGCGAACAACCAAAGCCTGCGGTTCGACTACTTGCCATTCGGGGGAGGAAGGAGGAAATGCCCTGGCGATACCTTTGGTCTGGCCACGTTGCACCTCATGGTGGCACGGCTTCTATACTATTTCGACTGGAGCCTCCCTGCCGGTGTGAAGCCGAGTGAGCTGGACATGGAAATGAGGGTTGGCATGACCTTAAGGAGAAAGAACCAGCTGCACCTAGTGGCAACACCGTATAAGGCATGCAGTTGATAATAATATACTTATGCATCTCGTGGGGAATAACCATAATAATACTCCCACCGTCCAAAATAAATGTCTCAGTTTTACTATAACTCTGGTGTACACATGAGCCTGCGAGCTGGTGTGCACACCGTATAAGATCGAGTTGTAATGTTCGTGCGGTCACTGGACGACCTGCACACGCTAGTCATGCTACGTTTTCATGCTCATGCGACGGCGTAGCTGTATCAGATCGTGTATTGTTCGGATATCAAATAAAATGAAAATGCTGCCTAAGATTGAGCAGCACAAAAATATCTCCCTGAGCTTGCGTGCATGTACCCACGATTGTCATTGGCGCAAGCAATTGGTGTCACATCAAACTAGTAACTCTTGAGTTCGTTTGAGCATATAACGGGATGATGGAAACAAGATACCCCGTCAATCAAATGACTTTGTGAATTATCCATAAATAGAAAATACAGATAATAAATATCCTTTATTTCAAACCGTGTGTCTTTTAATCTATCTATCTATCTGTTATGGACGCATCTAGAGAGCGGACAGATGCTCTCTAGTGCTCCGGAGTGGCCGATAAAAAAAACAAAATATTTCATCTCTTAATCTATAAAAGAAAAATAATTTGTCTTCCCTAATCTATAAAGCAAAATTCTAATCCATATTAGAAAAGTATCATGTAAATAGGTAAAAGATAAAGAATTACAAAAGCACCCATAAGAAAAGGTGTGAACGCATTTCATGTGTGTCTTTGTAATATTTAAAAAGTCATAACTTTTAAACTGCATGCCAGAATTAAAATCCGCTCTCGCTGTTGGAACTCTCGTGACGCGCTCTTCAAAACTATATCCCATGTGGATACGTTCTAGTGAACTTTTGTTGTGTGTAATTTAGTCTCTGTTTGACGCAACTACGTAGCAGTCCATGTGCCACGAGCTGATAGTCAATGTGCAACTTTCTCTCTACTTCTGAATGTGCCATTTTCACTGAGGCGAACAGATGTGAACACGTTTGATTCGAACATCATAATTAAGATCCATTTTCCTGGTCAAAAGAAAAATTAAGATCCGTCTTCATCATACAAATCCTGGCAATGTGCTCTTCTAAACTCTACCCCGTGTGGGTATGTTGCAACGAACCTTTTTGTGTGCAATTTAGTCTCGATTTGATGCAACTGTCCCAGCAGTCGATGTGTAACTAACTGACAGTCAATCCGCAACTTCCCTCTACCCATGGACATGCAGTTTTCGCTGATCTACTATCCCCTACCAGTGAGATGTGCAACTTCGTTTACTGCCCCGGACAACTTCCTGCTAGTAGTCGCGTGCGTGCAACTCCGCGACCGTGCGTGATAAACTATCCACCGAGAGCAACTATGTCAACCAGGAAGTGCAACTCTGCAGTCGCGCGTGAGCAACTACTCCCCCACGCATATGAAGTACCACACCCCGTGCATGAGCAACTATGCCAGCGAGAGCGTGCAACTCTATGGCCGTGTGTGCGCCGACTATGCCGTCGCGCGTGTGCAACTCTAGCGGCCGCGCAAGAGCTACTATGCCAATGAGAGTGTGCAATTCTGCAATCGTGAGTGAAAAGTTGTCGTACAAGAGTGTGCAACTTTGCAGTCCCCGTTTGGCCAAACTTTACCGACCAGGGTGTGCTCTGCAATCGCGTGTGAGCAACTATTCCACCACACATATACAACCCCCGCAGCCAATGACAGTGGACACCTATGCGGATGAGAGTATACAACTCAGTGGCTAAGCATGTGTGACTATGTGGATGAGAGTGTGCAATTATGTGGTTGTGCATGAGCTACTACGCTGACGAGAGTCTGCAACTCTGCGGCTGTGCATGAGCTACTATACTGACGATAATGTGTAGCTCTGTGGTCATACGTATGCGAATATGCCGCCGCACATGTGCAACTCACGCAGTCGTGCGTGAGTTGCCATGCTGACGAAAATTTGCAACTCTGTCGCCGTGCGTGAGCTACTACGCCAACACGAGTGTTCAACTCCATGGTCGTGCATGTGTGACTATGCATCCCAACAAGAGTGTTCAGCTCCCGCAGTCATGCATGAGCTACTATGTTGACCACTGTTTAACTCTGTGGTCTTGCATGCGCAACCATGCGGACGAGTGTGCAACTGCATGTGTGCTAAATGGTGAGATCCGGAGACCTAGAGGGAGATGATGACATGTTGTGGATCGAGAATGAGGATGAGGATGTTGTAGGTCTTGAATTTGAAAATATGAATAATTCTATCGAATTTTTAGACCAGAATCCGGTCATATTGTTGGAGTATAATATTTAAATTACAATACTTGCTGCATTTGAACTTGTTTTTAGCTAAATCAAAACTAGATATGTGGCTATATTGCGTGTGCGCGGATGTATGTGAACTTCAAAAAAAATTGAAGGCAGATATATACGGCTACCTTTAGATGATTGGCTTCTGCATGAGTATCCGTGGATAAGTCCCCCGAACCACGGACTGATACGTTCTCCGGTTTGCGGTCAGCATGCCCTGTTGATTCATCATATCTAACATTAAATCTGAGTTACAGATTTTAGGTCTGTTGGTTCATATAATTTTGATCATGTGGATGGGAGTTAGGCAAATAGAAAATGCAAATTAAGCGGCTCTCAGGAGCGTCGAGCCATTCCATCATGGCCATCTTCCACGTGGACCAAAAGTATAGAACTTTGAGTTACGTCACTTCCGACATATCATTTTTTCAGTTTCCGCTGCTCCTGACAACCACCGCTAATTTCACTTGTCTTGTGCTGAACTTTGCAGTCAGAAGTCTAGCAAAACAGCTACCTCCTGGGTGCACATGTGTTGTTGTCGACTGCGCGTGGCCAGAAAAGTCGCGTTTGTACTACTTTTTATTATGAGTTGTGACATGGACTTGTCAATATTGAATGATTTGCCGACGTGCGATCGCACGAAATACCTTGAAAGTCGTTCAACATTCTCAGCACATGTTTCTCCATTGTCCTTTATGTGGTTGAAACAAGATAGTTTTCCATTTGCTCGGCTGGATTTAGTGCATGTTTGGGCCCCTCTCATCTTCGACTTGGACGTGTGAATGGTGAGTTGCCTTCCGAAAATCTTGGAGCGAGACAGCGAGTTGTGTATCTTCTACTCATGTGTTTTTCACTTATGGTTTTTCCTTGTCATATTATTTGGAGATTGACGGTTCTTTCTTTTTCTGGCAACACTTGAACCAATGCATGGTTGGACCAGCGTCTCTGTCTGTCATTCTCCATGCATATAAAAAAGCAATAGCTTATAGCTTTTAAATACCGCAATACGTTACCATTCAGAAAATTTGATCCTTATAACAGGTGGCAAGCCGTGTGAAGGCAATCTGCTCGTGTGCTTCAAGGCATATTTTCCGTTTTGATTAAGAGGTGAGAATAAGCGAGTTCGAATGTAACTATCAAAAGTAGGAAAAATCACCCTCATTCAAGCTGTTCGGCAGTCCCTGCCTTAGTCGATTCCAACTCAACTGCATGACCCATACTAATTCTTGCAAGACCGAAGGCCACAAAATTAATACTTACACCATTCGAAAATAATTGTCGCTGAAACGGATGTGTCGAGCACTGCATCCATTTGAGCGATAGTTATTTATGGATGGAGGGAGTATTCATATGGGCATCACATAAATCAACCTGGTAGAGTTTTTTTTTCCAATATTTGAAGTGGCCTGTTCTTGGATAGAGAAGTTATGAATACTAGTAGGGTGCCCGTGCGTTGCCATGGGCTCTTGAAAAAGTTTACAAGAGTTACATGTTAAATTTCACATGCACAAACAATATAACACAAATACAATTACTGAATAATTGAAGTCCATTTGCAATGAAAATTGACAACAAAAAGAAAGACTAACGACATGTCCATGTAACAAACTAGATGTCCATGCAAGTTTCAGACGCTTCTCAAGTCCTACTAACTGTTTTTTATATGAGAAATATTAGGGATTAATATAAACAAAACATATGTTAAGATGAGAAAAAACAATAGATATTTACCATGTATATTTGATGAGAAAAAAACATGCAAACAAACCTTCTTCAGCCAAGTATATTTGTTTTTTCTCTCAATTTTATTGTGATACCCTTAGTATATGAATGGTAAGTATAAAAAATATTTATTTTTATGAACCATATTTAATATATGTATACACTTTTATTGTTTCTATCAGGTATGTATACTTTTAATATCTATGTTTTTATCATAAATTCCTACACATGCGAGTATAGCATTTCTATCATAGCAAAATTTGCACACAAGGCCCAAATTAGCTATCCACCATGGCCCAACCAGCACCCATACTTAGCCCCCTAAAAAATAACTATAAAAGAAATTACCTTATCCACAGTATATTTTTTTGAGGGATTACAGTATACCTGGACAAATGGACCGGCCTGACACGACATGGCACGGCCCAACCAGGATTACACGGGCCAGGCACGGCACTTCCCGGCCAAGCATGCGTGCTGGCCTCCCCGGCCAAGGCACGGCAACGTTGCCTCATGGGCCGGCTCGACGGCCCACTTGGCACGCTGGCCTCTAGGCTCACTGGCCACCCCTCGCCTTTTCCCCTCCCCCCGCCGCATCCCAACCCTAACCCCACTCACTCACCACTCTCCCCTCCACTCACTCACTTCCTCTCGGACTTGCCCCTCCCCCG